CAAAAGGTGATTGCTAAAGAAGCTGGCTGTTCGCAGAGCTCTGTGTCCAAGCACATTAACAGACAGGCGAAGGGACGGAAAAAATGTGGTAGAAAAAAGTGTACAAGCTCTAGGGATAACCGCACCCTGCAGAGAATTGTGACGACAAACCCATTCAAAAATGTGGGGGAGATCCACAAAGAGTGGACTGCAGCTGGAGTCAGCGCTTCAAGAACCACCACGAGGAGACTCATGAAAGACATGGGATTCAGGTGTCGCATTCCGTGTGTCAAGCCACTCTTGAACAAGAAACAGCGCAAGAAGGGTCTCGCCTGGGCCAAGGACAAAAAGGACTGGACTGATGCTGAGTGGTCCAAAGTTATGTTTTCTGATGAAAGCAAGTTCTGCATTTCCTTTGGAAATCAAGGACCCAGAGTCTGGAGGAAGAGCGGAGAAGCACAGAATCCACGTTGCATGAGGTCCAGTGTAAAGTTTCCACCGTCAGTGATGGTGTGGGGTGCCATGTCATCTGCCGGTGTTGGCCCACTCTGTTTCCTGAGGTCCAGGGTCAATGCAGCCGTCTACCAGGAAGTTTTAGAGCACTTCATGCTTCCTGCTGCTGACCAACTTTATGGGGATGCAGACTTCACCTTTCAACAGGACTTGGCACCTGCACACAGTGCCAAAACCACCAGCACCTGGTTCAAGGACCATGGTATCCCTGTCCTTGATTGGCCAGCAAACTCGCCTGACCTTAACCCCATAGAAAATCTATGGGGTATTGTGAAGCGGAGGATGCAATACGCTAGACCCAACAATGCAGAGGAGCTGAAGACGACTATCAGACCTGGGCTCTCATAACACCTGAGCAGTGCCACAGACTGATCGAGTCCATGCCACGCCGCATTACTGCAGTTATTGAGGCAAAAGGAGCCCCGACTAAGTATTGAGTGCTATACATGCACATTCTTTTCATGTTCATTCTTTTCAGTTGGCCAACATTAGAGAAACAAACATTTTTTCATTGGCCTTTAGAATATTCTAATTTTCTGAGATACCAGATTTGATGTTTTCATTGGTTGTCACCTATAAATATCAAATTTAAATGTAATGAACATTGGAAATACATTGGTCTGTGTGCATTGCATGAATATAATGTACAAGTTTCACGTTTTGAATGGAATTACTGAATTATTTTCAACCTTTTGATGATATTCTAATTTACTGGCCAGCACCTGTAAATGTTACAGATAAAAAGTATGTCACTGGTGTTTTAGCTCACATAGTAAGATGTCGGACTCTCGTGCAGAAGACCTGGGTTTGATTCTGGATGTGAACACAGTTTATTGAGTGTTTCTTTTTTACATTAATGGTGTATTTTTTTACAGTAAGATGCCCACATTTTTATTTGAGACTCGCCAAACAGCATTGAATTCATAGATAAAAAAGGGTTCAATTTTCATTTTGGAGCAATTTTTCAAGCGAGGGAAGGGAATGATCTGAGCATGCAGGAGGACTGACCCATCATAAACCTTCGTCGGCTGTGCTGAAGAGAAAGGTACAGAACCAAATTATTTAATTAATTAGCCTGTCCTCTGTCCTCCAGGCCACACACACACACACACACGAGACTGTCTCAGCTGTTATTTTCATTAAGGAGTGTGCACGTAGAGCATGCGCGCCTCGTGCACGAGCCTACTATTGAAGCTGCCGTTATGATTTTGGCCTGAGGGGGCAATCGCGAGCATAAAAATTCAAAACTCCGTAAAGTCCCTTTAATATTTTTGTTATTTTTTAGTTGAAATCAGCAGTAGACTAAATAGAGATGTCTACACACATTTCAGAAAAAAGGTCATTTTCTGTCTTTATCACAGTAAAATCAGAAAAGCTGTAAAAAAAATCTTTTGGTTTTTGTGGGATACCCGTCTGTGTGCATGGCCTCAGAAACAATTCAGACTTCAGTGTAATAACCCTTCCTTTTAACAGTCATAAGTTTTCTGATCTGTTGATGATCAGCTCCTGTTGAAGCAGGAATTGTTTTTCTTCCTTGCAAATCTCCATTTTAACGAGACAATGTGTAGTTTTAACCATTAATTTCTGGAAATAGCCATTAAACTGTTGTTAAAAATGAATTAAATGATGCCCAGCTGTTGAAAAATATTGGTGGCTTTGTAACATATGACCATAAAAATCAGGTCTTTGGCAGTTCATTTGCATCTTATTTTCTCAACACATGTATGCAACCCTGTTGACTACTCTGCAACTAAACATGTGCCAGTTCTGTGATTATCATCATCATCATCATCATCATCATCATCATCACCTTTATTTATAAATCCAATCCAATCCAATCCAGTTTATTTATAAAGCACTTTACAAGACCCAGCACAGGAACAAAGTGCTGTACAGAAAGTACATTAAAACAATTGACTAGAAAGAAAACAGCAATGATAAATAAAACACATGATACATAAAATTAAACTAGCCCTATATTAAAAATAAAAACTTGATAAAACTTGATAAAACCGCATTTGAATCACCTAAAACAGCTAAAATAAAATAAAAAATAGAAACCAACATCTCACAAGGTATTAAAAGCCAGGGTAAAGAGGTGTGTTTTCAGGAGTGCCTTAAAAGCAGATAAGGAACTGGCCTGTCTTATCTCTAAAGGAAGTTCGTTCCACAGTTTTGGGGCTGCAACAGCAAAAGCACGATCTCCTCTAAATTTACGCTCAGTCCTGGGTACAATCAGGAGCAGCTGATCAGCAGACCTGAGAGAGCGGGAGGGAGTGTAAGGCTGTATCAGATCAGAGAGATAAGAGGGGGCAAGGCCATGAAGACCTTTAAAAGCAAATAAAAGAATTTTAAAATGAATCCTAAAAGAAATGGGCAGCCAGTGAAGTGAAGCTAAAACAGGGGAAATGTGCTCAAACTTTCGAGTGCCAGTTAAAAGACGAGCTGCGGCATTTTGCACTCTCTGTAGCTGACTAATACATGATGCACTGACCCCAATGTAGAGTGCGTTACAGTAATCCAGCCGAGTGGTTACAAAGGCATGGATCACTGTCTCAAAGTGCTGCCGTGAAAGAATTGGCTTTATTTTTGCCAGCTGCCTGAGGTGAAAGAAGCCAGATTTTACCACCGCCTTAATCTGATGTTCAAACTTCAGATCACAGTCCACTTTGACCCCCAAGCACTTTACAGATATGTATTATGTCACCAAGGTGCTGAACAAGACTAAACTAAAAAAAAAGATAAAAACAAAGAACATATAGGAAACCAAATAAAAAAAAACATCAGTTAACACGCACCACTGCACAGAGAAGTGGCTGTTGTTGGTGACCAAGTTGAAACAAACACAGTTCAAAACTGCTGTTAGAGGACCATGGGATAAGTTTTTTAATCTTAACATTAGCTTTGTATACAACTAGGCCCCCTCCAAGCCTTTTAGTACTCAGAACATTGATTAAAACACAGTCAGCCGGAACTAGTTCATTAAGGGCAAAGGACTCACCAGCAGGAATCCATGACTCTGTTACACAAAGAATAGCCAGACCATGTGTAACAAAAAATCATTTAATATGAACATCTTGTTAGCCACCAACCTATCATTGACCAGGCCCCACCTCAAACAAGATGAAGCATTAGCTCCAGTGATAGTTGGAGCTCTATTCACTGGTTGATTCAGCAAGTTGATTCCTCTTTGATCAAACCGCTGGGAAGGAGGGGGGCGACCACCGCATTCACCTGGACAGCCAACAACAGGGACGAGCCACGAGCCAACCGCCACCCCAGTATTTTAGCAACTTGACATGTGCTGCGTCCCTCTGGGGAACTTTTTGGTATTTCTGAGCTTTCAGAGTGTTATTTTTTTAAATATGTTTTTTTATTGCTGGAGGGGGGAAAAGCTGCACAACAGTTTGGCACACTGTGGTACAAAGGGGGTTGACACCTTTCTGTTTCACATTTGCACATCACCTGATTTGTTTAAATCCAACGAACTTTTGAGTTTACCCAGTGGAACATATTCACACACTGTTGCTCATAAGACTGGAAAAAACTGTGAATGAAGAAAAGCTTAGACGGTCCATTTTTTTAGGCTTTTATTCCATTTCACATCAAAGTAAACTTTTTTTTCACATGAATGGACTACTTTTCGGTTTTCTACTTTCTACTTTTTCAGCTCATGGCCTCCATGGCCAAAACTAGATCCCTCTGCATGTTAAGTAGGGCCCCATACGGCCCAATTTGGCAGCCAGAATTACTGGTGTTGCTTCCCATTTGCTTCGGAAGAAGCTGAGTCCATTCTCCTGATCTCCATACAGCTGGGGAAGAGGAAGGAAAGGGCAGAGGGTGAGGATGAGGGGAAACTGGAGGTGGCTTCGCTGACAGATAAACTACATGACCACAAGCACCGAAGTATAAAGATGAAAGCCACATACATGTCATGTTGGCAGCAGTGGCACATCTAACCCCCAGAGAGATAAAGGAGGAGGGAAGAGATGAGAGAGATGAAGGGAGAGAAGCCGAGAAACGGGCGAGGAAGTCAGCATGCTGACAGGACTGTGACGGGGCTTAATTACCAGGCGAGCACAGCACACTGGAAGCAATTTCTAAGGATTGTTGTCATTTGAATAGATTAAAAGGCCTTTTCACAGGACTAAGCTGTCTCTCCACCAGCCTGCTTCCGCGGTGGATTAAAAGTCAGGTCGAAGAAGGAAAGACTGAGGCTGAGATGGAGGTGTAAAGGCAGAAAGGAGTGTCACAGAGAGCACTTCAGGCAAAATGGAACAAAACGGGGAAAGGGAAGGCACACGAGAAGATACTTCAGGTCAATTTGATTCGCTGCAAGACAAAGGGAACATGGTATTAACAAATACTAAAAGGGTGCCTTTCCTCGTAATTCTGAAAGTACTTACTCAGTCTGTGCTCAATAATGTGGATGATTTTAAACCTCTGTGTGGGTTTTGGGGATAAAATTCCTGTTTTTCTGTTAACTCTCCCTTCTGTTGACCCTACAGACACCGAGGGCTGTGAGCACTCATGGAGGAAGTTCCATGGCCACTGTTACAGGTATTTCAGCCGCAGACACACCTGGGAGGACGCTGAGAAGGACTGCAGGGAACACAACGGCCACCTGGCCAGCATTCACAGCACAGCCGAGCAGAACTTCATCAGAGGTGCGTGGAGGACTCAGGGGTCTCACAGACAGTGCTGATGGATGCTCTGTATCTATTTAAGGAAACAGGTCCTTCTTCAAGGATGAATAATAATAATAATAATAATAATTCCTATGCAAATAAAACGGGGGGGGGGGGGATTTATACACATCACTTTGTAATAACAACAGATTTGCTGTCCATGTAAAAGTCTTAGCAAAACGTGTTTCCCAAAAAATAAATGCCTCTAAATAGTTGTGCATCCTGAATCTGGAGGCTGCAAGATATTAGGGTTTGAAAGAAAAGTTTTCCAAGCGTATTTGTCACGATCTGCCCCTGCCCGCCTGACTGTGTTCCTCTCCTGCCATGATTACCCTTATTGTTCTCACCTGTCCCTCGTTAACCTGCCCATGTTTCCCTAATTAGCCCTCTGTATTTATACCACCTATTTTGCCCCTGTCCTTTGTCAGATCATTGTTGTTGTTTGTTGGTGTTCCTGTTCATCCCATCCTGCCATTAAACCATTTTTTACTTTTACTGAAGCCTGCATTTTTACCTCCTGCTCAGCTCATCCACACATGGTCCGCCGTCTCCACCTCGTTCACCGTGACAGTATTTCAATCTGGATGTTTGCCTTAAAACAGTAGCTTTTGGATTAATTTCAATGAGATTTTTAGTTATATGGACATGTTTGTTTGTTGACATAGATTTTAATATCCACCTTAATTTTAGGGGATGAGGAAAAGCACTTCAACGTTTTTGTGTAAATACAATTTGAGGTATTTCAGAAAGTCATGACACAAAAATACTGAACATTTTATTCTTAGCTAAACGTACAATATTTTTTGAAAACCCCATGAAGAAGTATTTTTGTCAAATGTTATTCTTGCATTAGACCTTCAAACACATTCAAAAGGCTTTTAAAGTAAAACAAATACCACACCATACCACGCTTCATTTATAGAGCACTTTAAAACCACACAAGGCCAACAACCAGTGTGTTGAACAACAACGAGCATAAAACATCATAAAGCATTTCATTAAAAAAATAATACAATGGCAGCAGTGTAAACAACTACGTCAGCGCTATCAGACAGCAAATAAATTATAAAAACCATTTTTAAAGGCCTCACATAAAAGCATAATAAAACAGTTGTAGAGTCGAGGCTATACCCAGCTAATAGAAATGAGTTTTCAACTTTGATTTGAAGACTGCCACAGATGAAGACTGCCTAATGTGCAAAGGAAGATCATTCTAGAGCTTGGAGGCAGCAAGCAAGAAAGCTCTGTCCCCCCTTTTGGGGCCGCGAGCAATGGCTAGCCAGCTGGCCCAAGTCACTTACAGGGGCAAAAGGCTTAAGCAATTCAGCCAAATACACAGGGGCCAACCCATTCAAATTTTTCAAAACTAACAATAACATTTTAAAACAAATCCTAAAATCATGGGGTAACAGTACAAAAAGGCTGAAGCTGTGGTAATGTGACCAAACTGTTTCTTTCCAACTCCAAAATAACTTACTGATATGTTTAAAGATAAGATAAGTCTTTATTGATCCCACTGTGGAGAAATGTGTGCGTTACCACAACTCAGGCAGATAGCAAAGGAGTACAAAAGTGACCAAGAATGCAAAAATAAAAAAGACAAGACACTATGTACAACATGTAGACACACTCACAGTAAGCGGTGTGCATAGGGGGTTGTGAAACATTGTGGAAGTAATAATAGTAAAGCAATAATATTTAATTCATAATAATATATAAAAAGTATCAACTGTTCTGCTACAATTACTTTTTACTGGCCCAGTGATAGACATCTTTAAATACATTTTAAAGACCGAATTAGCAGATAAAATGTTTTACTTGTTATTTTTGAGATAAGATCAGCCACTCAGACTTTAACATGCAAGTTGACTTGAAAATAGTCTTCTACCCCGTTTCCTGTATTAGCCACCGATAGAAAATAGAGCTCCGGGAGTTGACGTCACTTCTCCCAGCATGCAAAAGTTCAAATCGAAACGGCGCCATATTGGCAGGCAGAAGCCCGCAGCTGGACTATTTGTTATTGTCAGAAAACTCAATCAAACAGGAAATATGGTAGATTCCTGTTGTGCCCCAGGATGCAGAACAGACGAGGACGACATAAGGAATGAGCCATCTACAGGATTCCCCAAGATCCGGAGCGCCGCAAATGTTGGATCATTGTAATAAAATGCGCTAGTGACCGGGCTGAAATGAAACTGTGGGATCCCGAGAGTAAAGGTTTTCGCTTATGCAGCGACCACTTCATATCAGGTACTTAAACCAACGTTTCCTCAACTGTGTATGGTGTTTATTTTAAATGCTTTTATTTTGATTCTTAGTGGGCTTCCTAAACTTATTTTGGCATGGCTTTTTCTGTCTTATTACTCACAACAAGTAAACATGACGTAAAACATTGCCTCGTGATTTCTGCGTGCTGCTGTTTACGTGTTTTATGATCACAGCAATTAACCGGCTAAGCTGTATTTAATTTTTAAGCAACGGTTGTCAGATCACACATAAAAAGCACTTTGGATTGCTATTATCTGTCTCACCGAGACAGATCCTGAGACGCTCCTGCCTGACATATTTATTTCATTCACAGAAAAAAATCAGACTAGTGATTTCTCTTGGCATTCAGTTTATACACGCAAACAGCACATCACTCTATTTAAACTTCTTACATGTAAATCTATGTTATGTGTCCATCCATTTTCATCCGCTTATCCGGAGTCGGGTTGCGGGGGCAGTAGCGTTGAGAGGCCCAGACTTCCCTCTCCCCAGCCACTTGGGCCAGCTCCTCCGGGGAAATCCCAAGGGGTTCCCCGGCCAGGTCCGCTCCGACAGCTTCCGGTGTTTTTATAAAGTATCCCAGGGGCACGGTAAGGGTCGGAGATGTTTAACCTACTTAATTTGTGACTATATAAAACAATTTCTTCGGTTTTACAGTGTGAAGTAAACTCTGACGAAGTAAAATCCAAGCCGATGCCGTTCATTTTGTTTACCTTTGTTGCCTGCCAGCATGGCGTCTACTCTGAGAGTCAAGTGACGTCCGGAGCTCTATAGATGGGGGAAATGCTCACATTCAAAAAGAATGAAAGGAATGTTTACTTTGGGAAGTGCATTCAAGAGTAAATTGCAGGTTAAATGTTATTTTAATTTCATATAAAAAACACTAAAATACTTGCTTGCAATGATTTACTTATGTACTGCCTCCTATTGCCAGGGAAAATACACATCGTCTCTAGAAAGGAGTCATCACCTGTTACTAACATGGATATCTACATCATAATATAGTATTTTAGACCATAAAATGATTTGTATTGGAAAAATAACTTAAAATGTGCTTTTTTGACCCTTTTTTTGTAAAGGACATGTTTTCACGCGAAGAGCACACGTGATATTTTCGCTGTGTAGGATGCGTCATTTGGAATCGTAGGATGTCCGAGGAAGATCCTGTCTTTCTCGCCTCTGATTGGCTAGAAGGGCTCGACTACGATTGACTATTAATTTAGCAGCGAATCGGTGTCTTCCCTTGCTAAGTGCAGACTGTTCTCCTGCCACCGCCACCAACAGAAAGCTGGTTTGGGGGATTTTGTAAAAAAAAAACTATGAACTTAGCACGGCAGGAAGGACCACCGCCTTGGACATATTACGATTTCCCGTAATGGTTGAAAAATTGTTTCAAAATGAAAGTTGAACCGACATATTTTCTGGCTGTGGAGTCAATGTCTTTTGGCATGTCTTATTTGGATGTTTAAAAATAAAATTTGGGCATCTTATTACTGTAGAAAAATAACACAGAAAAAATAACTCCAAACAACAATGTGATAACCCATCCTAGATTCGAACCCGAGTCCTCCGCATCAAGTCAGGTGTCTTACTGGTTGAGCTATTGTGACATGTTGCCTCAGAAAATATTTATATCCCTAAAAATTGTGTTAAAACTCAGCAAACATTTGGACATTTGATGACAGCTGAAACAACGTTAGTCCGAAAAAAGTTTGATATTTTAAAATACGAACTCTTATTTCTATATTTTCTAAGACAACTAGTTCCAAAATGAAAGTTGAAACGTCTTTTCTGACCATCATTTCTGGAGTATGGCGGGCTATAGCGGCGTAGCTCTGCACTGTCCATATACTGTACATCCTGCCTTTGTGACGACAGTAAGGCCAGAACTCAACATCTCGTTTTGCAATGCACGTGCTCGTAGGGTGCACGCGGGCTGGTTGAAGAGGCCAAGAGTAAAAAAAAAAGATCCAATGTTAAATATCAACTATCCGTCTAGTGAAAAATCATCAGGAAGTCATTATATACACTTTTTCAAGTGGAAAATTAGAAAATTTCAGGTGATGGTTCCTTTAAGAAGAGCTGAAACATTAAATCAAACACTACCAGTAAAAATAATTCAGCAGTAACTTTTAACAGCAATTACAGTATGTGATACATCTCATTGGGTAAACATTATTCTTAGTATTTCTTGCTGTGTTTGTGTTTAACGCTCTCTGTTAAAACATGTTTTCACTGGATGATGATGTATATTTATCCCAGCTGGTCTTAAGCATCCTTTGATGACGCCGAGTGTTGCTTACATGTTGCATATAGCTCAGTGATGAATGTCTGTGTGATTCGTCTGTGAACAGCCACTGACGATAGAATGACCTTAAGAGCTAAATCTGCTGAATAAGCTGCATTCAGCTCCATTGTCCATTAGCCAGTACAGCACCACAACATAACTCAAGAACTTTTTTCATGTTTTCATCCAAATTAATTATGATATTCACAACTTTGACATCAATTTGTAAAATTCTGACCCACTCCTTGCACTGTTTTACATTTCTTTGTTGTTCGTTGATGTTTGGTCAGATAAGAACTCACTGCAGTTAGTAGTAAAAGTATCTTGTCAGGTTTAAAACATGTATGTAGATTCCGAATCCATGTCCACGATTTCTGTGAAGAGAGATGATCTGCTTCTGTTTCTGTGATCTATGGTCACAGAG